GACAGGAGAGGAAAGATAGAAAGGAGAGAGGACAGAGAGAGAACCAGGGACAGGCTCTCGGGTGTGTGGGTGAGTGAGGAGTGCCAGTCGCCCATGGCCGCTCATGTGTCCCCAGCTCCAAGATCTTTGCTATGGCATGCCCCCTGGACCAGGCTATCGGCCTCCTGGTGGTGGTCTTCCACAAGTACTCTAGCAGAGAGGGAGACAAGAGCACCCTGAGCAAGAAGGAGCTGAAGGAGCTGATCCAGAAGGAGCTGACCGTCGGCGCGGTGAGTGGGCCTCTCCTTGGACACCCACCTCTTGCCCTTGACAGACGGAAGGAAGAGACAAGGAGGTGCCCAGGGGCATCTGATTGGCATTTATCCACATTTTGGGGTCCGGGTCTGGGTCCCTTCCTAAGCTATGGACCCACTCTCCTGAGGGGGTGGGGTTGAACACTCCCAGCCTGGAATTCACTGCCCCCGGGGGAGCAGGGTGGCAGAGGCAGCAGACAGGTAGGGAGTGCACCCAGGGTTCTCCCCACCACTGAGCCTGGGTCTTCTGTGCTCACACCTTAGAGGCTGCAGGACGCAGAGATTGCCAAGCTGATGGACGACCTGGACCAGAACAAGGACCAGGAGGTGAACTTCCAGGAGTACGTCACCTTCCTGGGGGCCTTGGCGATGATCTATAACGAGGCCCTCACTGGCTGATCATAAACCCTTTTAGGGCCCCCACTGAGTCCAATCCAGTGATGGGGAGTTGTACAATAAATATATATCTTTTGGGGGGTCAGATCTACACCTGTCTCTGGCTGTGCAACTATTTCTGCTTTCTCTTTCGTCCTGAGGCTAATCAGAAGGCCTACCCACAGTCAACCTCTGGGGGAGACTCCCTGGCTGGAGTCTGGTGGGAGGGTCCACAAGAGGGGGACCCCCACCCTGACAAGGCAGATGGGTTAGAAAAAGAGGTCCCCTCAGAAGAAGCTATTTTCGGGAAAAGCGCCCATGGTCCTCAGCTGAAAGTGTTCTGGGGCAAACTTAGAGAAGGAAATGGTGGCCAGATGAGCTGCCACCAGGGGGAAGGGGGTTGGCATGGGGGTGTTGCTCAAGTTCTGGGGAAGAAGTGAGTTTTGCTCTGGGTATGGTGAGAGGGGGTAGGCCCTGGAGCAGGACAGATGCACGCTGTTACCAAGGTGAAGGAGGGCCGAGGAAGCACATTGGAGATGTTCAAGGCCTAGCCCCTGGAGGCTGGAGACCAGTGAAGACACTGTGGGGCTGTCTTCCCCTATAGCTGCCCGTTTCAGAGCTGCAGGTGGTGGCAGCTCACTTTAGGGGTCTGTCCCTGAAGTCAGGGACGAGGTTTTCTTCTTATTGGGCTGATGGTCCGAGGAGCTGGCAGCTGTGGGAGTCAAGGGGCTCACACATGGGGCGGGATCAAACATAACTTCAAGTCTTTTATCATCCATATGACCCAACCCAGCTCTACAGCCTCAGCAGAATGAATCACCCCAATTATTCCACTGGAGCTCAGCCTGCCTCCCCCATCACCCCCTTCCCCTGTCCCTACCCCTAGTGACTAATTGTTTGCATTACTGTCCAGTTGTCTGAATTAGTGTTTTCAGGGCGGAGGGAGAGGGGAAGGAAAGAGGGTGAACTGCTTCAGGGCCAGGAGGCATTTGCCTTGACTCTCCTTCCTCTGGGGTTTCTTCTGAGTGGGCAAATTTAAAGAGGTCCTGACATCAGATGGAGATGAGATCACACCATCCTTTCTTACCTCGTTGCTTCCCTCAGGGCTCAACGTGGTAGAATGGAGTCTTCCTCCACATTTGTTGGGTGGGGTTCCGGGAATCCTTACCAGAGGGCTGGGAGTCGCACCTTAGCGAAGGCCCTGCTCCTCTAAGTCCCTCCTCTTTCGAGAAGGGGAGTGAAAGAGGACAGAGCTACCTGTTCAGCTCACTCTGTAAGGGTGCTCCCCCCAGTGAAGGAGGGCGCGCCCCCGTGTGGGCAGACAGCAGAACTGGGTGGTGGTCTTGATTCCTGGGGGAGGGCTCATAGTGGTGGGAGATGCCGGTGGTGGGACCCCAGCCAGGCTGCCAGGGAGCTCTTTTTAAACAGGAGACAGGACACGGATTCCCAGAGATGCAGGGAGTGGGTCATTTGGCTCCTCTACCTGTCATCGAGTCAACGCTGACTCATAGCGACACGAAGTGTTTACTTACGACACAAAGTGGTTTCGAACTGCCGACCCTGGACATCACAGCCCGGACATGTAACCACTACACCACTAGGGCTCATTCAAAACTCACTGCCATTGCACGGAGTACCACTTTTAGGGACCCTGTAGGTTCCTAGCAGTCATCAAAACAAGACAAAAAGGAACCCCAAACCCCAAACTGCCGGGGAGTTGATTCACTAGTGATTCGTAGTGGCTATATAAGGACACGATTGAACTGCCCTGTGTGCTTCTGACTCACGGGAGTAGAAAGTCCGATCGTTCTCCTGTGGAGCCGCAGGTGGTTTCCAGCTGCGGGGTTTGTGGTTAGCAGCCCGATGAGTAACCACCAGGCCCCTGCCTCCAGGACACCTGCAGGAACCAGACTTCCTGTAAAACATACCCACTATGAGCAAGTCCACGAAGGGCTTGTCCGAACAAATGGATTCACATCCCCACCCTTCCTCCTCCGTGCAAATCAGGACTCCCCTAGGTGAGGGCTAGGAGTTGATTCAGGGGCTGAGCCACTGCTGTGGGGACAGAGGCACCCCCTCCTCTGTTCCTGAGTCTTCTCACACGTGGACCGGGAATAGTAATATAGTCTGTACAGCTGTCTTCCGAGGCTCACAGAGTCGTTGGACAGTGTCCAGGGAGCTGTGGTGAGTGGGTGAGCCGGCGGTTGCTAAGAAACCACCAAGTGCCCTGCCCACGTGCTAAATAAACAGGGCCACTCTTCAGCTTGTGCTTCTCTGGCAGGAAAGGAGGGCAAGGGAAACATGGATTAAAAAAAAAGAAAAAAGAAATAAAAAAGAAACGAAAACAGTCAACTAGCAAAGCTGTGTTTGCCTGGGGAGCATTTTTGTGTGTGTGCGTGGGGGTGGCAAACAGTGACCTGGTTGTAATTGGTGGGGGCAGCATTCCAAGGGTGGAAGTGAGTGTGGAAGGGCCCGCAGACTGGCCATTAAAAAAAATCATTTTATTGGGGCTCGTACAACTCATCACAATCCATCCATCCATCCATTGTGCCAAGCACGTTTGTACATGTGTTGCCATCATCATTCTCAAGACCTTTTTTTTCTACTTGAGCCCTTGGTATCAGCTCCTCCTTTTTACCCCTCCCTCCCTGCACTCCCTCCCTCACCAACCCTTGATAATTTATAAATTATTATTATTTTGTCATGTCTTAGACTGTCTGATGTCTCCCTTCACCCACTTTTCTGTTGTCCCTCCCCCAGGGAGGGGGTTATATGTAGATCCTTGTGATTGGTTCCCCCTCCCCCACCCCTTTCCCTTACCCTCTTGGTATCACTACTGTCATTATTGGTCCGGAGGGGTTCATCTGTCCTGGATTCCCTGTGTTTCCAATTCTTATCTGTACCAGTGTACATCCTCTGGTCTAACCAGATTTGTAAGGTAGAATTGAGATCATGATAGTGGGAGGGGGAGGAAGCATTAAAGAACTAGAGGAAAGTTGTATGTTTCATCGTTGCTGTACTGCACCCTGACTGGCTTGTCTCCTCCCATCGACTCTTCTGTATAAGGGGATGTCCAGTTGCCTACAGATGGCCTTTGGGTCTCCACTCCACACTCCCCCTCATTCACAATGATACGATTTTTTGTTCTGATGATGCCTGATATCTGATCCCATCGACACCTCGTGATCACACAGGCTGGTGTGCTTCTTTCATGTGGGCTTTGTTGCTTCTGAGCTAGGTGGCCGCTTGTTTACCTTCAAGCCTTTAAGACCCCAGACACTCT